TACATACATACATACATACATACATACATACATACATACATACATATATACATACATAAATACATACATAGAATTATGCATACCTGCATAATGCTTGCACATACATACATACATGCACTCATAACTACAAACAGGCATATATTGATACAAATAAACATGGCTACATACATATAATCATTCATACATACAAATATGAATATATAAATACTAAGAAACATTCATTCATGCATACATACATACATAGCTAGAATCATGCATACCTGCATAATGCTTGCACATACATACATACATGCACACATAACTAAAAACATGCATACATTGATACAAATAAACATGGCTACATACATATAATCATTTATACATACAAATATGAATATATAAATACCCAGAAACATTCATTCATACATACATAAATACATACATAAATACATACATACATACATACATACATACATACATACATACATACATACATACATACACACCATACATACATACATACATACATACATACATACATACATACATACATACATACATACATACATACATAATTACATACCTAGAATCATGCATACATGCATAATGCGAAAAAAAATATATGTGCATGCTTACATTTTAGCAGCATGCACATATACTTATGATTGTATATATATTTTTTATGTATATATGCATATATGTATGCATGTGTGTGTGTGTGTGTGTGTGTGTGTATGTATACACAAGGGCCTATATAAAGAGGTAAACATAGTTGACTGTACACCTGCACACTGCGAAAATATAGGCGTGCATATATGTATGTATGATTGTATGTATGTATTTATATGCATACATCACAAATATAAACTTGTATATGAGTGTGTTTAGGTGTGCCGGCAATCTGGTTGGGCGTGATCAATATTAGAAGACGAGCCTGAGGAGCGGGCTATTTCAGTTTGCGAAGAGGGCTTCCTTACGGGAATCATGGGGAGCCGGTTATTTTCACATGTCCGGACGGGTCTTATCTACGCATTTTTATCTGCCTCGATAACCACCTCCTCCACACCGTCTCGGCTGGGGCTTGCCTCCAGCCCACCAGTCGGTTGGTCGCCCAGCCCAGCCCAGCCCAGTCCAGTTCAGGCCAGCCTACTGTACGGTATGGTACACGCGAAATCGCTTATCCCTCGTGTGATCTGCAATCGCTTTGGGCTTTTCAACTTTGTCTTTATGCCGGACACGTTGCCATTCGGTTGGCAGACACATCGGATATATTGTGACTCGTAAGACGGCCAGTCTCCCTCACAAATGGCCGTTGTCACGCCTGCCCCCGGCCAGCGCTACTTTCACACTCATCGGTCGGTGTGTTTATTACTTTTCCTTTATTGCAGCGGTGTAGGGCAGGTCTGGTCGTTGTAGCCCGGCACAATTCAGCATTTTCGCGACAGATTCTCCGTTCGCTCGTAAAGCGAACCGGCCTTCAGGACGGATTTCCTTTTTGCCGCCGACGCAGAAGACCAGAACCTTCCGACACTGCGTCCCGCGGTCCGACGAGTGGATTCGAGCGAGCCCGGCTTCGGGAACACCGGCGACGACCAACTCCCTTTTCCGGTACCTCGCTCCA